GGGGCCGTGGCCTGCAACCCAGACATGTACCCTGACTGGGAAGGGAACCTGTGACACTTTGGTTCACAGCCCGCGCTCAATCCACTGAGCTATGCCAGCCAGGGCCAATACTTTTAAAATTAAATTTACTGGGGTGACATTGGTTGATAAGAGTATATAGGTTTCAAGTGTAAAATTCTACGGGACATCATCTGTATATTGCATTGCGTGCCCCCCACCCAAAGTCAAGTCGCCTTCTGTCACCATATACTAGACTCCTTTCCCCTTTGCTTCCTCTCCCATGTCCCTTCCCTCTGGCGGCCACCACGCTGTCATCTGTGTCTACGAGTTTTCGTTTGATTGTCTTGTTTGTTTACTTGTTGCTCTCAGTGCCATATCCCCCATAGGAGTAAAATACTCACATGTGGTTCTTGACTTTTCCTGACTTATTTACGAGTAGCATGATATTCTCAAGGTCCACCCGTGTCATCACAAGTGGCAGTATTTCGTCTCTTCGTAGGCCTTACTATAATGTTTAATTCTTTATGCTTCAAAAGGTTAAAATAGCAACTCTCTTTCTTAGACGTGGGCACCGGCTGCTTTCATAACAATCATTGTTTGCATTTTTCGCTGCTGCAAATACTGCTTTCTCCTCCTGGATATCTGCTCACGCGTCCCTTTACAAATTCCAGGCACGTGCATTTAAGGCCTAGCGTGCAAAGCACTGCGTGAGCTGTAGGAGGGGGTGTGTGGTCCCTGCTCTCCCTGTGGCTTAGGCCTGGGGAGTGGAGACCAGGCTCAACTGCCCCAACAGTGAGTGTGATGCAGGGCAACAAGCGAAGAAATGCCGGTCTCCGGGTCCCACATGGGGAGGACTTGGAGCTACAACCAGCGAACCCCAAAGTCCTCCAGGCCTATGGGGGGTGGGGGGGGGTGGGGAAATGCACACTCAGGAGAGAGAGAACGCCTTAGATCTCCTCTTAGGAGGAGGACGCCAAAATTCAGGGTTCTGCCCTGAGGAGCTTGGCCAGGTGGCTTACACGCACAGTCCAGGTGAAACCCCCGCATTTCTCCTGCTCCTCCCACATATCTCGGGCGCTTCCTGAAAATTTCCTCCTTTTCCTGGGGAAGCCAGCTGACTTCACGTCTCTGGGATGCGTACATTCTCACATTCCCGCTCTCGGAGTTCCGCGTCATCACATTGAACTAACGCTTGTAGAGGAAGGGGCACTTCCCATATTCCGCAGAGCATGCTCCACAATCCACGTTTAATCTCAGATTACACGCAACAGCATGGTGTTTATTTAGTACAGGGGGGGCCGTGCATTTGCTAAGAGCACCACTGGGGCTGAATTTGGGGCTCTGGTTCCCCCAAAATCAACATCGAGACCTGGGAGAAGTTGCCCACTAGCCCCGTACCTCAGTGGTTATTTTCCTCTTCATTTATAAAATGGAATAATAATAGAACTTATGTAAAAATCGTTATTACAAATCATATGGTAAAAGGTCTTCCTAACTTCGCTTTAAAAACGCTCACACAGGCGCTGGGGGCTTAGGTGTCTCCTCTGTTTGGAAACAAGGGTTTGGACTTGGTGGTGGCCCAGGTTCCTTCACAGCTGAGTGTGGGCTTCTCCTTGACACCTGGAGCTACGTCATGCCATCAGGCAGAGTCAGCATGGGGGCTGGTGCTGCAGAGGGGGAGGAGGGTGGGGCAGGGGAGGGGGAGAAAGGGTCAGCCTGGTTCCCACAGGCATCTCCTTATGGGGGTGAGGGCCAGGGACCCTCCAGGAAGTGCTCCTCTTGGTGGGCACTGCCTCCGCCTCCTGTCCTGGGCCTGGTCCACCTCTGGAGGGGCCAGGGCTGTTTGCTGTCTCCGGTGTGAGCCCAGCTTCTGCTGGGCCGGCCCCTTCAAGCGCCTAGACCTCACCGAGGCACACTTTGGAATTTCTTCTTCTTCAGAGACATAACTTATTTTAAAAAGTTACTTAGCTCTTTGTTAGCCACTACAATAGGAGGTACCTGTCCGTGTGCAGTGGGTTGTAATTGACTACAAGTAGAGATTTATTATGCAAAGGCTCAGTTGTGGCGGACAGCTTTTTGGAAGTAACTCGTCAAGAAACAGAACTTTCTAATCATAAGACATAATAGATGATGACTGTAGACAATTTGGAAGATCCAGGTCGCTACATAAAAAAATTAAAATCACCTTTACCTTCAACAGCCAGAAATAACTATTGTTAAAATTATTTTATGCATTTTCTTTGTCTTCTAAGCATACCCACACATATGCCATTTTCATTGCAAAATCAAGGAATCCTTAAGTGGATTATAGCAAGAAACAAAAGTCCCTCAATATACATCTACATATATATTTCTTAACCTACTGTCACACAACTTAATCTTGTGAGTATTACTCTTTCCTTACTTATTTAATATTTATTTTTTTGGTCTTTTAAAATTCTCTTCTTAAGGTTTTTCTTAGCAGAAAATTACACGTAAGTTATTTTCCATAACAAGTTATCATTTCCTATAAACTTGCTTCTAAACAGAAGGTTGGGCTTCTTAAACACTAAGAAGCTTGTGAGACCAAAATCCTGGCAGGCTCCTTTATTCTTGAAAAAGATGTAGTTAGGGTCAAGGATTATACATCGGAGGTTTTGTACCATTTTCTTTTTCTGTCTCAGAAACTCTAGGGTAAAGTCGCCTTATCTTTCCCGACTCAGTTTCTCCACGTGTGAAACAGAGGTAATAGTTCTCAGCGACTAGAAGGGAGCTGTTCTGGTATCGTTTCAGCGAATTGCTGAAATGATCAAGGTTCTTCTTACTCCTCTGCTGGAAGGGAAACCGTCATACTTACCAGTGGGGAAAAACACTTGACTATTTGTAGGTAACTGGGGAGGTTGCTCAAGAATTTGTGGCTGAAATTTACCTTCTGAGAGAGAGAGAGAGAGAGAGAGAGAGAGAGAAACTATGAATGGTTCTAAGCATGCTATAACAAAGCTCCTTTTGAGTTGTTCCTGGGAGTGGCTGGGTGTGCCAGCCATTCCTCAACCTGAATTCTGAATAATCAAGTTATAATGTCTGCAACGTTTCAACCTATAGGTAAGAAAAAGCACCCACAGAGCAGTCTCCTAGGTTATTAAATATTTGGGCTGATGATTACGTTTGCTAAACTAGAGGGTATTATTATTCAATAAGTTTGTTTGATGAATGAATGGGTAATTCATTTTTTTAAGTTAAAAACTACTCTTTTTATATACAGTCAATAACATGGTTTTTGTGACAATTAAAAGAGAAGAAAACCATGAATCATTTTTGGAGTTACAGAGCAAATGCTTCTCCTGCAAGCAGGCACATCATTTCCTACTGAATATATTTAAAGAAACATTTGTCTCCAACAATCAGAGCTATGTGTGGGCTTCCTTGGGTATCACGGAATTCCTGCCTCTGGAAGTGTTTCTGTCCAGGTTAGGCAAGCCCTGAATAGGGGCGTGATAGAGGGAAGTCAGCCATCAATAGGGAGAATGGACAAAGCTGTCTGATGCAAGTGCCCGTCTCTTAAAATCCTTCGGTCACAGTAGCAAGCATGCAGCAGGTGTTCAAGACATTATCTTAGTGACTTAGATGTGAATATCCTGTGCCAGCCTTTTGGCCATTTCGATATTCCTCGAGGCTGTGCCTGTCTGAGGAATAGGTGCCTGTCTGCTGATGATCACCACCGTCGTTAGGGACCGCATGCTGTGTGCAGGCACTTTACACGTTAATAGATTGTCTGTTCACGTGTATGCATGCCTCATCATACAGATGAGCAAACAGAGGCTTGAGAGGCGAAGCCCTTGGTCTAAAATTTATCAAGCAATGAGGGGTAGCGTCGGTTTCTCCAAGTTTATGACTTGGCCCCTGAGCATGGGCATTTTGGGAGCTATCCTGCCCCCATCACTCTTGTAGGACCTACGTGCCTCCATGGGCTCCACTGATGCCTGAAATTCTGCTTCTGGAGTTTAACTTGCTTAGTTGGTGACTTGGGTCCTGGTCGATAAGAAAATCGAGGGGTCTGGGGGAGGGAAAGCTCCTAGTCAGTGTTCGTTTAGCAACACGAGTTGCTGTCGTTCATTCAGTCAGCCCGCACTTATGGACGGCACCCTGCAAGTCAAGTCCATGCCAAGGGTCGGTGTCACCAAAAGGAAGGAGGTTGGGTCTTTACCAAGATTCTTGTATCCAGATAGAGATCGGCAGCAAGTAGATTACTATGAAACAATGGGGTCCGCGGACAACAGGGAATATTGGGGGAGCACAGCAGCAGAGAAGGAACCGGCTCAGTCGAGGTCCTTTCCTGAGAGCAGAATGGGGAGGAAGGGAGGAGGAGGGCCCGCCCCTGAGTGAGGGACCCTCAGGAAGTCAGGGCGACGAGAGAGAGAATCGGCACAGAGCAGGCTGCACAGAGAGGCTCCAGGGCCGGGCCGTGCAAACCAAATCCCCACATTTTATGGGTAAAACGAGGGGATTTGGTTTACCTCAATCAATTCCTCTCATCAATTTGGTATTGTATATTTTGCTAAGTACAATTTATTTAATTGATACATCCTCTTCTTTCTTTTGTGATTGCTTTTTTGTTTAATAGGTAGCTGCCTCTTTGGCTGCAACAGAAGGACCCACTGGAATTTACATGGAAAGGATAGAGGTTAGGGTGCTCTTTGTGGCAAGACCGTGTTCGACAAGTATGCGTTATTTACGACCATCGCATATGCCTCCTATTTCATATAATATTTCACCTCCCGGTCTCACGTGGGCTCCTAGGGTTGCCCTTAGATATGTGTGTATCACGGCCAAGGCGGGGTTGTGACAGCCCTTTCCTGCCCGAGCATGTCGGAGGCCTTTGGAAGCTGCACAGGCAACAGCAACTTCAGCCTGAATGGTCTCTTCAATCGCGGAGAAGCTGCCAGGAGACGTGAGTAAGAAGAGCTGAGGCGCAGAAGTGGGAGGGGCGCGGAGTGCGGGAGGGGCGTGGCCAGCGGGAGTGGCCGGGGTTCAGGTGAGCCAGCCTGTGTCTCTCACCTCAGAGCTGCTTCCACGTCCAGGTCCTTCTGAGCCTCGCTTCCCTCTTCCCTGCTCTGTGCTTTCCAGCGTAACTGTAACTCCAGGTAAGCGAAGTGGAGGGAGCAGGCCTGGTGATTTCCCTCTCTAGGGCAATCCTTGGAAACCAAAGAGGCGTTTGGGTTGATTCAAGATGGTGAGCACAGTCGACAGAATGGGTGCTTTTCAGGGATAGGCCGTTGGCCTGGGGACTGTTGCCCATCTCTGGCAGCCCCCATCTCTGGCAGCCCCCACCTCGGGCGGCATCTCCAGCCCTCAGGCCTTTGGGAACGAGGATGCCAGGTAGGGAGAGAATCACTTAGCCATACACGGTAAGACTACGAAGAAATCACGTGGCTGGGAGATTTGGGTGGTGGGAGGGTGGGGGGCGCCGCAGTAACTGACAGAAGGGAAAGTGTTTCTGAACACACTTTTAGCCCGCTCTGGGAAGGAAGAATGAATTTCGCAGTGCCTCCTCCAGAAGGGGCTGGCACTCAAAACCTGGAGAAAGTGGAGGTGCATTGGGGTGTCTGACTCACCTTCCTGGTTGGCTTGGTGGGGCTGAGAGTCAGACGTTACCGCTGCTCTTCCTTTCGGCATTTTTAAACATCTAGTCAGTGTTCGTTTACTTGCAACTGTGTTCTCCTGGGCAGAAACCCTGTTTCTATCCGGTCTCCCTGTTTCTGTGTTTTGGGATAGTTGAAACAAGTTAGAGATTTCAAATGTATGTTCTTGGGCAACTTTTCAAACAGGTCGCCGGCTCGTAGCTTCTTGTTATAGATGCTCCTGCTTTTATGGCCTCATCTAAGTGTATCCTATGAAAGATCAATGAACGTGCCAGGTCCTCCTGTAGACTCGGATTCAGGGCGGGGGTGGGGGGGTCCCGGACGTGCTTCCTCTCAGGCAGCTCACCGGGGTGGCGTGGCTGACTGAGTCACAAGGCTTCTACGTGGCAAGACCAGCAGAACCGAGGCCTTCGCACTCACAGCTTGCAGATGTTTTCGTGACACTATGGGTATTCTCGGTGGCCTTTCCCCTCCCCATGTCACTCGAGTCACTCCAAAGGTTTTGAACAGAACGGGGTGGGTCTCCAACTTCAGCCCCCTCCAGAGGTGCGAGCACTTGCTGGGTTCCGGGATGGCAGCCGGGAGGCAAGCCGGCCTGGAGAGAGGCTTCTCCGCAGAAGATGACTCAGCAGGTTTCCACCTTCGCTTCCCAACGCCTTGAGTTCTGCCACTTCAGTCCCTCCGGGTTAGTGGGTTGACTTTGAGCGTCGCAGCCTCAGCAGTTTTGGTTATGCTGGCCTGGCCGGTCTGGCTCCCATGTACTGTTAGTCACCCATGGGATGATTAAATGGTCAAGATGGGTGTCTGCACAGACAGGAGCAGATATGACGTCCCAGAATCTCGGAGCAAAGAAGGGGCTCTCTTGCTGTTGGAAATTAGGAACGTGACCTTATTGCTGACAGCCGCGTTGTCCTTTCCTGCTAACAGAGACCTTCCCAAAGCATGCCTTTTGTCGCTTCCTGCAATCCCCTGACATTCTCTCGCACCGCAGACCCTGCGCGGTCTCCCGTCTTCTGCACCTGGCTCCGTGTTTTTCCTCCTGAAGTTGGAGTAAGGACCGCAGAGCCTATGTTCTTAGACATTCCACAGTAGTTATCCTAATGGGCAAGGTTTCTCAAGGTCATTGCCTGAGGATCGATTACACCAAATACTTAAGAGATTTTTTTTTTCCCCTTTGCATTTTTCTTCATCTGTAATAGGAGGCGGGTTGGGATTGAGGGATATCCACAAGAACCTGGCACAGTGGAAAGGAGTTTAAGGAATGAAAAAACTGTGCACCTGGCCGTGTGTGCGTGTGTGCACATGTGTGTAGGTGAGTGGGGTGGGTGGTCTGTAGGAAGGCTGAACATACATTGCTCAAAACACAGCCCAGCTGTGAGAATGAAAGAGGCGTTTTTCTCACCCCAGTGGTCTGCAGACAACAAGGCTGAGGGAGGGCCACTGGCTTAGATGCATTAAAACTTTGGGCCTCTTGACGCAGAGGGCCGGCGAGCAGCTGTTAAGTCTCAGAACGGGAGCACGCCTGCCCCTCCTCACATTCTAGTGCACGTTTCTCCATTCATCCGGGCTTGCTTGCAGTCTCAGAGTTTTGTCAGGTCTTGCCGGCCCGCATTTTTGCATAGCTAACTCCTCCTTGTCTTTGGGACTCACCTTTAGTGTGGCTTACGTAGCTGTCATTGTCTCTGAGGAGACCTCACCGAGGTTTCTGCTATAAATGAGCTCTCTCGCCAAAGGGCTCCCACAGCAGCTCGCCCCCCGCCCCACCCCCCACCATGGAAATGCTCAGGACTCATTACACACATCACACCACTAGGCTGCCAGCTCAGTGGAGGCAGGACCGTGTTGGGTTCACCTTTGACGTCTTAACGCCTAACTCAGAGCCTGACGTGCATTCAGTGCTCAGTTAATACTTATTGGACGAAAGTGATGCCACGTTAATAATGTGCAACATAAATGGCAGAAAGAGACCAAGAGACTCTTCAAGGAGGAAAACAAAAAAGAAGTTTGTGTTGGTTTAAAAAAAAAAACATGCCGGGTACCTTGGTGTCTCCGAAGGGGAGCTCAGGACACACGGGAGTTTTGGAATGCTGGGCTTGCAAGCTCGCCAGCCCCCGCGCAGACAGTGGCAGGGGCCGGGGGGTGAGGTGTGGTTAAACGCACCTGGCTGGGCGCTGGGAGAAGGGAACGCCGGGCTGGTTTCACCACTTTCAGTCCCTGCGTGGGAGGCCTGGGGGATCACTTCGTCTCGGTCTGCCTCGCTTTCCTCCTCTGTAAAGTGAAAGCGTGGAGCCAGGAGAGGTCCAGGCCAAGACCTCGTCCCGTTTTACGGTTTATGACTTGAAGACGTGTTGCAAATAACCAGGCCACCGAGTGACACATTCTCACAGCTCTTTGTTGTTCCTTTGTTGCATTTGTATGACTGCTTAAATTTCCATCTCGCTCTTCCCTGGTTAAAAAAAAGTGCTTTTTTAAAGTTTTAAGTGACAAAAAATGCAGGGTTTTCTACATTGGAGCTGCAAATGAAATTCTCTTTGCTTGGTATAATCGTTGGGAGGTTTTCATGAAGATCAAGGAAGTTATTGCTGTGACACAGTGATAATAAAAGGAAAGCGTCTAGCAATTTTAGCGCTCTGAACAGAAGTCACTGGACATGTCAGTTCACTCTGGAGGTCCTGTTCATTTCTCCTCTTGTACCGTAAGTTTTACAGCATTTGCTACGTAAAATGGCCCATGAGGAACCTGACACATTTTCCTGTGTGTGTCGCTCACGTTGCTAAGATCTGTTTAAATTCTTTGATTGTGTTGCAGCATGGTGAGGCGGCCATTGGCCAAGGCCCAGGTCATCCCTTGAACCACCTTAGCCTAGGCTAGATTCACAGTGGTTTCAGGTCACTCGGGACCGATCTCCTGGATGGGGAGGCGGGTCTGTGGGACTCACACACTGAGGACTCTCGTGCGAAGGAAGGGACTCTTCGAAAGGAGGTTCTGCCACCCATGGAAACGCCTCTGATGTCAGGGGTGGGCTGGTTGGCATTCTCCGGCAGGGACCTGAATCTACGCCTGGAATTGCAACACGGTGGTGATTGTATTGTGTAATTAACTGTCCCAACAACCACCGTGAGCCTGCACTCAGAGGGAGCTGCTCGGACTACATGGGTCTCAGAATGTGACGGTGGGTGACAGAAACACGCCTCCGTGGAACAGACGGGCAACACGAGCACTCCCTTACCCCGGGGTGCCCTCTGCGGCTTTTGTCATCAAACTCCTTCAGCAGATTCCTCTGAGGTCTGACGCCTCCTTGGGTCTGGTTGAAGGAAGCGCTCCATCCCGAGTGGTGATGCCAGGGAGCATGCCCCACCCGATGACCTTCAATGTCATGATTGCACTCCATGTCTGTGCGCGTGACTGCACAGTGCCAGACCGAGGTGGGCTTCCAGCCTTCATCTGTGTACCAGTCACTCAGGGGCATTCATGTAAGTCGATGTTCCTTAGAAACACGCTGTCCTGGGCCAGGCAGAGCCGGGCGGGTCCACGTAGCTCAGCTCAGCTTCCGGAAAGAGCTGTGCCCGGCGGCTCGATGGATCCCAGGAACTCCAGACGTGGTCAGTCGCTACAGGACGAGACGGGCAGAACTTTCATTAGAAAAGCAGCTCTCAGACTTTTAAGTCTCGGGGCCGCTTTACATGTTCAGATTACTGCGGATCTATTTTTCTTTTTCTTTTCCTTCTTTCATTGTTAAGTTACCATTATCACCATCTTTTTAAAAAAATGAAAATGATTTAATTACAGTTGTCCTCATTTTCTCCCCCATGGCTCTCCCCTGCCCTACCCACCTCCCACTCTCTCCCCTTCCCCTCCTCCTGCTGTCCTTGTCCGCGGGTCCTTTATACACGTTCCTTGACTTGACCCTTCCCCTTCTTTCCCCCATTTTTCTTTTCTTTCAGAAAATGTTAGTAATGTCCAGCAATATTTACCAAATCAGAAGTTAAAACTGGAGCAAGTTTGAAATATTTATTTACTCTTTCATTAAAATAATACTGTTACCGGGGGTGGAGGAGGTGGAGGAAGGTAAAGGAGGATAAACAGTGACAGAAGGAGACCTGACTTGGGGTGGGGAACACACAGTACAATACACAGATGACGTGTTACATGGAATGGTACCCCCGAAACCTACATAATTTTATTAACCAATGTCGATCCAATCAATTCAATAAAAACAAAAAGTAAACAAAAAGCATTGTTACCATTGCACATTAACATAGATAACAAATTTCAATGGGGAAAAAACAGCTGTTTTCTAAGGGGAAGAAGGGCAGGGGGACGCGCAGTGCTGGTTTCCACCTCTGCAGGTCTCCTTCCCATCGGGCTAACGGGGGACCCACCGTTCCGCCTCCGGGAAACTGCTCTGTATGTTTGGGAGAGGCGGTGAGTGACGAGGCGAATGGTGTCTGAGTATTACTATGAAAACAGTGGTGACCTCACAAACCTGCTGAAAGGGTCGTAGGGACTGCCAGGGGTCAACGGACGCCCCTGAGAGGACGCCAGCATCACAATGACGGAAATTCTGGGTCAGGACCCAGGTCACCCACACTCTTTCCGCTTCACCGGCTTCCGCACCTTTAGCCCAGCTGCCCTCTCTGCCTTCCCTTGGACTCTGCAGGACTCGGTGTGCCGCTTATAAGGCACTGGGCTGTCGTGCATTTTCCTTATTTTCCACGTATCTGCCCAAGTAGATGGCAAACTCACGAGAGAAGGAACTTAGTTCACCCTTGTGATTCTATGTACAGGGCCTTCCAAAATGTATTAACCTCAAAAACAGTAACGGCTTCTGCACATGGAACACTGCTGTGTGTTGGGTGCCCTACTGAGGTGTTTCTCACTGCAGTGGTCTCCTAGGGCTGACGTCACCACGTGTCACACACTGGGTGTCTTAGAGCAACAGAGATGGATCCTCCCACAGTTCTGGAGGCCAGAGCCTGAAGTCAGGGTCCTGGCAGGGCTGGGCTCCTTAGCCCTGGGAGACGTGTGTCCTCGCCTCTCTCTTAGCTTCTGTGTGTCCCCAGGGTTCCCTGGCTCGCAGGAGCGTCACTCCAGTCTCTGCCTCTGCCATCGCCTGGCCTTTCCCGGTGTGTCTTCATGTCACCTCCCCTATTGTGCATGTCTGCCTCTGTGTTTCCTCCTGTTCTTTCTGAGAAGGATGCCAGCCATATTGGATGAGGGCAACCCTAACAACCTCAGCTTACTTAAGTCTGCAAAGATGCTATTTTCAAATAAGGTCTCGTTCATCGGTACCCAGGGGTGGGACGTCAGCATATCTTTTGGGGGAGACACACGTCCAACCCATAACACTTACCAGCTATTAAACTGAACCACACAAAACTGCTGTGATTTTGGCTGCTTTTCAATTTTTGTATGCTTAACCTACATGCTAATTGATTGTATATGGATAAATAAAACAAAGCAATTCTGATCAGTGCCACCAACTGCTCTGACTGCTAGCGGAGGAAGAGGCGTGGGCGTCTGGCTTTCGACAATCCTCTGAATCGGAGGATTCTGGGCAGAGCTGTGCACACGGAGACCTTGGGTGCTGCTGTTCAGCCCTTGGGGCATTTGCCCAGAAGTTTCTTCCCCACCGGCCTTTACAATTGCCCTTCGTGGACAGTTCCTTCCTCTCCTCTAGTGCAGGCCATTGCTTTGTTGAGGTGGGATCCTCACTGGGTTGGCAGCGTGTGGGCGAGAAGGCTTTAAAGGCCCGTGTCCTTTGTTCCAGGCCCACGATGGACGCCCTGCAGCTGGCGAACTCGGCTTTCGCGGTTGACCTCTTCAAAAAGCTGTGTGAGCAGGAGCCAGCGGGCAATGTCCTGTTCTCTCCGATCTGTCTCTCCACCTCCCTGTCCCTCGTTCAAGTAGGAGCCAAAGGTGACACAGCCAGTGAAATCGGACAGGTGAGCCCCACGCCTTGGGTCTGCTGGGAGAGAGGGAATGGTTGTTAGACAATGTGGGCGGAGCCGAGAGAAGAGCGACTGGGGTTCTGAGGCCAGAGCTGCTCGGGAGGGAGAGCTGGGCCCCTTCTCACACTCTCTCCATCCATTTTTAAGTGGGAAAGAAAGCTCCTCTACCTGCCCTGTGACCCAGGCACTGTGTGTGATGGGGCACCTGGGGATCTGCTAGGGAATCACAAGGTTTCCACTAATGAGTGGCCTCTGGCGAGTCACCTGGCATCTTTGTGAGTGTTCTACTGCAAGGATCCATCAGGGCGGTGCTTATTGAATGTTCTACTGCAAATACGCTGACCAGAAAGTACAAAATCTATATTCCCGTCTTGTGCACAAAATGTATTCACAGCATCATGCTTTATTGCTATTTTTTATTGGGGTATACCGGACATTCAACGTGATATTTGTTGTAGGAGTACAATGTAAGAATTTGATATTTGTATATATTGCACAAAGATCAGGACAATAAGTCTAGTTAACATCCGTCGTCATTCACAGTTACAGAATTTCTTTTTCTTGCGATGAGCAATTTCAAGGTCTACTCTCTTAACTTCCAAATATGCAATACAGCATTATTAACTATAATAATACACCACGCTGTACATTGCATCCCTGTGCCTTATATGTAGCTGGAAACTTGTATCTTTTTACTTCTCCCCACCTGTTTCTGCCCCCTCCCCCATTTACTTTTGGATAGTATGTGAATGCCTGTCTAACTCTATTCATTATTGTTCTTATGTTGGCCATCCTAGGCTCAACAGAATCTTTCTTTGCATGAGCTCATAGCATTTAAACAGGGAGCATCTCCTTGTATCTATAAGCCCCCAGAAAGTATGACCCATGAAGTATTTTTTGGGTCGTGATAAGTGAAAACTTCATACTTGAAATTGAGGGCACTCAAATTATTGAAATTGAGAGTAGTGGGTATTCCCAGTCCGGTTTGTAGAGGGAAAGGTGCAGCCTTGCAGAGCTGGGCTAGATTATATTCCTAGTGGACACAGGCTGGGGCTCAAGGCCAGGCTGCCGGACCCCGGCCCACCCCAGGCAGCCCACCGTGGATGGGGGCGGCCCACCAGAAATGACGCGCTGGCCCATTTGGCACTCGTCAGAGAAACTGAAGGCACTGGAGACACCTCCGGGCTGGAGTCTGATAACTGCCTAATGCCTATTTTGCTAGTCATCTCTCTCTTCGTGTGTCTAAATTAGATGAAAATTATAACCCTGTGTCACTCTTTTCCACGTTTGAAAAGCTTTCTGTATGAGCATTAGAGGTGACATTTTGAAGAAAGGGCAAATTTTCCTTATAGTTAAATCCAGAGAAGAGTACTTAATGACAGAGTACAATGGGGACAATTTTGCCCCCCACTCCCTGGGGGTCTTTGACAGTGTCCAGAGACATTTTTGGTTGTCTCAAAGGGTGCCTAGTAGGTCAGAGATGCTGTCAAACACCCTACAATACCCAGCACCCTGCCCCGGCAACAATGTCCTGCCCCAAACATCAGCAGTGCTGAGGTTGAGAAGCCTCACCTCGTGGGACAACGGAGCAGGGAGACTGTGCATCCCTCACGGTCGGTGACAGTCACCATGTGTCCCACTGCCGTGGGAAGACACGATGATGCCTCATGGGTCACGGATGCTTTTTTCCCCTCTTCGCAGGTCTTTCATTTTGAAAATGTCAAAGACGTGCCCTTTGGATTTCAAACAGTAACATCAGATGTCAACAAGCTTAGTTCCTTCTATGCGCTGAAACTAATCAAACGGCTCTATGTAGACAAGTCCCTGAATCCTTCCACAGTAAGTCGTTCAATGTCATTTCCGGTGAAACTCACTTCTGGGGTGCTCATGTCTGATCTGAGGCTCATGAACATGAGTCAGTCCCAGTGGAGGGGTTGGATTTAGTGGGATTCAACTGCAGTCACATCTTCCAGCTCAAAACAGGGAGAAGTTCACAGCCTCCTCGTTCCCTCTTGAACCCTCGCAGATCCTACCCTTCCCCGTGGCTTCCTCACTCAGAGAAATGGGGAGTGGAGTGGGTAATAACAATCTCTGTAGATGCAAGACAACTCGAGATTTACACCTTTCTCCCCACATAGCAGGGTGGGCACTCAGGCTGGGGCAACAGTTCAAGTTCTGCACCTCATTGTGTGTGTGTGTAACATTCTCCTGACCTTCTCAAAATCAATATGAAAAGTAATAACTATATGAATCAACAGTTTTCATCAGTCACCAATTGTTTTTGTTGGTTTTCCTAGGCTGGTCATGGGGGTGTCTATACAGGTTGTTCTGGGTATTTAATTTCAGCCGTTTCTTGAAAGAATCCCATAAAGAACACTGTGGTGCCCTTCGCTTTGATTCCAGAGTATAACATAAGATTTAGGAAAATCTGTCCTTGAAATACACAGTCAGCATCCTAGACTACACAAAAGAAGTTTCCTGTCTATGTTAGTAATACAGAGTTGATTCAGTTTGTGTTTGGATGGCCAGAATTTTGAGCTTTCCAAACCTAAAAGGTAGACTACCAGTTAGACATTTTACCATAGTTTTATTACTTTCTGGAGTAGCTTTTTGTTTCTCTGGTTGAGATCTTTTGAGGACATTGGTCACTAGACATGGTTGTGAGTTTGTTCTTGCTGTGTGAAGACATATACGTGGCCATTTTCCTTCCCACGGTCACTCAGGGAAATAAAATAAAATATTGAGATGTGAGTTGGGGCCTAGGTATAGAAAAATTTTAAAAGCTTCTTAGGTACTCCTTAAGAAGATGCTTAATACATTTTCTTGCTGGCATTGAGGATGGCGGAGGCCATTTACCTTACTGAGGCTCCGGTGTTCTGAGGTGGCCTCCATTCTTTCGGTCAAGGGCAACACTTGGCCCCGAGGTTGGGTTGCAATTAATGGAATCAAATGGGCTAAGGCCACGGCTGCTCTGAAGAAATTGGGGGAGCTCTGTGTTTGCATATTTAATCAGCTGTGTTTTTTAGTTTGGTTGAACTTCTGTTCAACATTTTGAATTATTTCAACCAAACCGGGAATTGCAAGGAATTTTATTTCAGCTGCTTTCCATGGCTCCTGGCGGCTGTCTAGCACTTGCGGATTCACGGGTGATGGTGCAGACAGGTGAGGTGTGAGGATGGCCACCTGCCGCAGAGCCACCTGGGTGTGCAAAGGGCACGTTTCTGGCCTCAGGTCGCTTGCATCACAATGACGAGGGATGGGATTTAGGGTTCTGCATTTCAACCAGCATTAGAATTAGACCCACTGCTATTTCTCCACTGTTTCAAACTCAAGGTGCAGGCGAATCACCCTGGCATCGTGATAGAAGCCGCATTTTGATGCAGCAACTCGGGGGGCTCTGAGGTTCTGCACTTCGGTCCCAGGGGATGACGTGGGGGCTTTCGTTCTCGGGCCACAGTTTGAGTGGCAAGAGTCTGTAGAATATTTGTCTCAGTGAGGGTAGTGTTTTCTGCTGATAGAGTTCTCTTTTCTGTATGTACACTTCTTCCATTCTAAGACACACCTGTGTGCACACATTTTAATGTTCCTGAAATCACACATTAACTGTTAACATACATTTAGCAGGGTGCTTCTTTCCCCCCAAAGTCGATACTAAATTGATGAATGCATTTAATAATTGTTCTTGTCTTGGAATTAAAGAAAGGAAACATTCAATACAAAGAAACACGAAGGTGTCTGCATGAAGTTTCACGTTACCTGACAGTTCAGATTTTGGAAGTGTATTCATAGCCATGGACACTTAAAAGCCCTTTCGTTAGAACTGGGTGACAGTGTGAGAGTTTGGCTACAGACCGTGAACTATCTTGTGATTTTATGAACCGGCTGCTTTTCAGGAGTTCGTCAGCTCCACGAAGAGACCCTACGCCAAGGAAATGGAAACTGTTGACTTCAAAGATAAACTGGAAGAAACGAAAGGTCAGATCAACAACTCCATTAAGGATCTCACAGACGGCAAGTATCTTTCTTTATTCTGCTCTAAGTACCTACTTGCCTCCCCACGAATCTCCCTGCTCAGCAGGACATCGAATGCCTGGCGGGCGCCTGCGATGCTTTCAGTTCAGAAGCTAAATTCTTTTTTTTTTTAAAAGATTTTATTTATTTATTTTTAGAGAGGGAAGGGAGGGAGGAGGGGAGAAAGAGAGAGAGAGAGAGAGAGAGAGAGAGAGAAACATCAATGTGTGGTTGCTGGGGGTTCTGGCCTGCAACCCAGGAATGTACCCTGGCTGGGAATCGAACCTGGGACACTCAGAAGCTAAATTCTTGCCGGTCAAGCCATTCCAACAACGTGGCTTTGTGGGCCTTCCTTCCACCGTCTTTTCACTTGGGCAGGAATTCCCGGTGCTTCCGTCTTCCTTAGCCTCCTTCCCTTGCTCTCCGAGGAGCCGCCCCACGGCCTCCCTGCTGCGTGTGCCTCTGACAAAGTCTGGTTTCCGGCAAGTCATGAGTCCAGTTTTTCCACCTGGAAAGGAATGGCTTGGATAATCCCCGAGGCCGCTTCTAGCTCAACTATTCTGCAAGTTTATTACAGCAAAAGGGGTAGAGAGTCTTAGGCAATCAATTCTACTCATGAAAAAAACAAAACAAATCACAGAGATGGACACATGTCCTTGGTCCCACCCCTCCTGACCGCTGGGGTGCTCTGATGGGCCCCGGTGTCCTCTGCGGCATCTGCCTGGTCCGGTCCTGCCTCGGGCTCTGGGCTTCCCTCGGGCCTCTCCTGACCCCGAACCCACCCTTGAGTGGGTTCTCCTTGAGTCTTCCTTGCTAGAAGAGGCTTCGAAGTAAGATGAGTTTTGAGGGCTGATCAGCATCAGGAGGCACCTGCTGGGACTCAGCGCCGAGGTGTGAAGGGGTGAAAGGTCGTGATGGATATTTCGGGCACCAGTGCAGTCTAGTGAGGGACACACTTCTGGGGCAAGGGCACGCAGTTCCCGTCTGGACGGCCAGAGCCGGACTGTCTCGAGGAGGACTTGGGTGGCAGAGTCCGCACCATCGCTGCAGGGTGTGGGCGTGGAAGGAGCATGGCCTTGGAGTCTTCACGGCCTCAGAGTCAAACCCGGGCACTGCCCCTTGTCCACTGAAGCATCTGGAGCCTCAGTGTACTGAACTGTAAAATGGGGCCTATGTTATCTAATTTAGTTTTGACATGGTTGTTGTGAGAACTAGCTTAGGTAATATGGTAGGCAAGAGGGTAGGTGGTAGCCATAGATACGTATGCCTGCACACAAATGTATGCATGCGTACGTCTTTGTCGTTGAAACGAATTTCCTGTGCCTTCCTATGTAAAGAAAAAAATGGTGTAACATCATGTTAAGCACAATGATAAAAGCAGCCCCTGTTTAAATGGCCATGTAACAGTTTTGCTTTTAGAGTTTTTTAATTTTTAATCCTCACCCAAGAACATTTTTTTCGTTGCATTCAGAGGTTAGGTAAATGGAGATCCTTTGCGAAACCTCTCAGGGCTATTCGAATACAAGGCCTTAATTTCACTGGGGGGCTCTTACCACTGAGCTGTCCTGCTGTTGGGAATTGGAGCTCTAGAGTAACGACAGCTGTGGTCAAGCCAGCTGACCCTGGCACAGACCAGCCACCCTGCCCACAGCTGGGCAACCTGGGGAGGGGGTGCAGCTGTGGGGTGAAGAGGAATGCCCTGTCCTGGCTCAGATCTGCTTTCCAGCTGAGTGTACTAGAAAGCCCCATGACCTCTCTGAGCCTCAGTTTCCTCATCTGCGAAATGGGGATAATGGCCTCTGCCTTACTCGATCATTACGAGAGAGCGGAGCTAATGCACGTGAAAATGCAAGCCCAGGCTGGGTGTGAAGTGAGCGCTGGTGGGTTTTCAGTCCAGAGCACAGGGCTCCAGTCCTGATCCACCATCGCTCCTGGGCCATCTGGGGCGAGGGACCGGAGACTAAGTCACTGCTTCCTGTCTGTAAAAAGGGGAGGACTATGTGGTAGCGTGTACATGAATGTCTGGCACGTGGTAGCTTGTATTTTTCTTCTTCCTCTTCATTTCTTTCCCCTCCTTCCCCCTTCATCCTCCTCCCATGGAGGCTTTGGTAAGCCCAGTGGGGGGGAGACAGAAGCAGAGAAAGGGGTCCTTCCGAAACAAGGTGGTCTGGCTCTCAGCCCCCACCGTGTGTGGCTCTAGCGCGTGTGAAATCCCTGGTGAGTGGACAGCACGCGTGCTCGGGAAGAATAACCCTGTGCGATTTGCGGTTTCCTGAAATCGTTGGCAGGACGCTTCGAGGACATTTTATCCGCCAACAATGTCAGTGACCAGACCAAACTCCTTGTGGTCAACGCTGCCTACTTCGTTGGAAAGTGGATGAAGAAGTTCCCGGAATCGGAAACCAAAGAGTGCCCTTTCCGTGTCAACAAGGTAAGTGGGGCCGTGTGTCAAAGGGTGCCCCAGCTACAGATCTGAAGGATGACAGCAACAGGGAGGACCCCGGGAGTTCACGCACACGAGGGAAGTTCAGGCAGAGCGGTGCGCCCTCTCTGGTAGAAAAGGAACCCTCATCCTTGGAGAGGTTCTCACTCTTCTCCAGAGCGTTCTGAGTCTGGGTTGAATGGGAACTCATGAGGACCCACAGCCCAGTGGGCAAAACTAAATCTCCACCTGGAAAGTGGCTACAGATATTTGCGGCCATTAGCAAGAAAGACAGAGAAACCGAATTCTAACCTGAGCGGCCTTTGACTCATCCTGAAACCCCGGGCCACTGGGGAATCTCATCTGTTCGTAGTGAAGTCAACCGTTCTGATATTTTAATTTATAAGGTGCTCTGAGGTCCTTGCTGGCCACAGAGGAAAAAGCACAGCTCACTCAGCGGCTGCTCTGGAAGAATGAGAAACCTGTTTTGCAGGGAAGTCCTCCTAATCCTACTGAGGGAATGGCGAGGCCGTATCCTCCTTGAGAAAGAATTCATGGAAATAGGTAGAGTGCGTCTCCCGCAAAGGAATCCAGGGAACTGAGACTGGGAAGGCTGCCCATTTCACGGAAGGGCCCAGGCAACCCCAGGAGTCTGTGTGATGATGACGTAACTCGGTCTCACGTGATGAGATCTGACGGGGCTAAGAACTTGGACGGAAACCCAGGCTTCAGGGACCACGAAGCCTGAAGGTGGCACATTGCCTTGTAGCTCCCAGGCATCCGTTCTGGTTTCCAAGTTTCTCCCAGCACTTGGAGTACCTAGCACTAGTCACACTTGTTTTTGCCAAATATTGTAACAGCACCTCCTTCGTGCTGGAACCCAGGGAGAAAAGACCCCCTGATACAATTTATACCTGGACCGGCTTGGCTTTTGGCGCTTTCCTTTGTACAAGCACAAGTTTCTGTTCAGCCCCACCTCCCCACCCCTGCCCCAAGCACACTTTCCATAATGACACGTAATTATTTATTTTCTCATCCAGATCTGTGCATGAGTGCATGGGCTTTGTAACGGCAGGGATAAGGCCTTACTCCTCTCGGTTTCCGTAATTCCTGGCCCAGACGTGGTACCTGAGTAGGTGCTCAGCCCTGTTTGGGGAATCAGTGGCCCGTCCCTAAGGGTCAGTTCGGATACACAGGCAACAGCAGACAAACCTGATCGGCCTTTGGAGCCACCGGGGGTCCCTGTAGAAGATCCACTGGGTACTGTCACTGGGAGAGGACAGTCTCGGTCGAGAGGGCTGCTTGCCTCTTCAAAACACCCACACGTCCTGGGGAGCCTCCACCCACTTCCTCTCCCTGACTCACCTCCCCGGAGCTCAGTGGCCACCTCAAGGCTGCCTGCAGGGGCAGGCTGACCCTGCACATGGGGGCGTGTCTCAGCGGTGGGGCACAAGGTGTGCCACTCTTTAGACTGCACTGGGTTTTTCACACACAAGTCCTTGGCCCGTAAACATGGCTTTGAAATGTCCTTGATCTCTCCGTGGTTCACCTAACAAGGCAATAAAACACACAACTCAGCGCTGCGTGCAGACACGCCCTCTCTTTGAATGAGGAGGTCCTTGCTTTCTCTTTGTTTCCTTTCGGTTGCTTTTGTCAGCCCCTGAGCTTTCTGAGTCACTCCCCGGAGCCTTTCCTCAGGCCCCGGGTGTCTCCTTTAAGGGCTAGACTGCAGTCATGAAGTGGTAGTGTTACATGTTCAGTATAGCGCCTATTCTCACAAAGGTGGACACACACACACACACACAAATTGATGTATCGCTAACCTAAAAATAAAACGGCCAAATGAGGCTGATTTTCTGCCCTTACAAAGAGAGGGAACAAATGATCGAGGTGTTTCATGGAATTATGACAAGAACAAATTAACAGGTGTATGTGTGTATAGACGTGTGCACCTACATGTGTACATGTGTGTGTGTGTCTGTGCATGCATGAAGGCATAAGTTGCTGCCTCTGACGGGGGGGGGGGAATAAAATTCGCGTCTGCATGCGCACTCGTGGGAAGGGAAAGCAAGCGGCCCGGACCCCTTCTGCTGTTCCAGACGGACACCAAGCCCGTGCAGATGATGAGCCTGGAAGCCATGTTCTGCATGGGCAACATCGACAGCATCAACTGCAAGATCATAGAGCTGCCCTTTCAGAACAAGCACCTCAGCATGCTCATCCTGTTGCCCAAGGACCTGGAGGACGAGTCCACCGGCCTGGAGAAGGTGAGGGGGGGCGGGCGGGCAGTGCCAAGGTGCCCCCTGACCGGCGGAGCCCCTGGACAGCGCCACGCGGGGCTGTGGAAGAGGCCGCGGCCCTGCCTCGCACGTCACTTGCTCTGTCATCTCCAGGGGTCTGTGGTCCTTTCTGGGTCTTCCTCCTTAATGTTCAAAAGAGCCAGCATTTATCTGGCACTTACCACGCGCCTGGAACTGTGAATTCCCTCTGTGCGCTCTCTCACTGAACTCTTGCAACAGGCCGAGGAGTCAGACACTGTCACCGCAGCCGCCCACTGACCAGGGCACAGGACACAGAGGGCGGGCAACCGGCCACGGTCACATGACTCGTCTGTGGTTCGTAGAATCAGTAGGAGTTTGAGACTAGGAATCTGGAATCCGTGTTCTTAAGTCTAGACTAGGGTTACTTATCCTTAGCATCTTGCATCAACGTGGTGCGTTTGTAAACAATTGATGAGCCAATATCCATACGTGATTATCCACGGAAGTCCATGGTTTATTTTAGGGTCCACTCTGTGTGTCGTGCATTCTGTGAGTTTTGGATGCTCTTTTCGTGCACACACATGTAGATGAGACTTTATCATGTGTCATATTTCAGACAGGATTTAGAGACACAAGACTCACATGTGGTTGAGGTTTTACCTGCTTGAGAGTAACGTAGCTTGCCCTCGCCTCCGGCAACCTTAACCTGCGTCCCCTCTGCCACCCACCTCTGCCCCCCACCCCCCACCTTCCACCAGGTTCTCGATCCTGGCCAGGGAGAAGGAGGGAATCCTTGAGGAGCTCAGGGGTCACCTGCTGTAGTTCCTGTCACGCCTCAGTGACTCCCCGACTCTCTAGGTCACATCTTAGCTGTGACTTCAGTTATCATTTTGCTTGCGCCACCACCTCATTGGCCAGATTTTAAATCTGTCTCCGTTCTTCTCTTATTCATCAGTCATGTTCAGGGGCGTCCTAGCCACACGGTAGCCCCTGTATTGGAGCCCAGAGGTCAGAGGTTTCCTCTTATGACAGAGGAATGCTCAGCTTTTACAGAGGTTAAGAACATAAACTGTTATTTTTCAGACTTGTTGAACTATAAATAAAAGCATAAGATATTTAAAGTGCACAGCAGGATGAGTCGGTAAATGTATAAATTATAAACGGGTTCCTCCCATCCGGCTTATAAACACACTCATCGCCTCATATATTTACCTCTTTATCTCTTATTTTTAAAAAATAACCAACTGAAAGGGATACATTCATTACCTAATACCTTAAAGAATGATCATAAACAGTTCAAATTCTCATTCTTGGAAGAGTTTATTTCAGCTTTAATCTGAGTTATTAAATCCGATGTCATGCCAAGGACACGAGTATTCTGGATTTCCCAGGAGTGAAATCAAAATGAGCACTCAAGAAATAGTACTTGTGCAAGCCTCCTGCTTTTACATTTATTTCACCACTATGTACACAGCGCCATAATCCATGCACTGGTTTCAACGAAGCTGCTCTATAGCTTACGGGAACTGTCCCCGTGAACTCCAGTGCACGGGGCCCTAGCCTCAGGGTGGGGTGGAGACCAATGCGGGGCGGGGGACCTTTTATGGGGGCAACGGTCACACGCCAAAACTGCGGGGCAACACCATGTGTGACGGTCCATCTCTGCCGCTTCGGGACGGGGCTCACAACGACCTTACGTTCTCCATCCCACGGGGCCTTTTACCATTGAAAATGAAAAAAAATGCTTCCTTCTGCTTTTGTCCTTTAGGTTGAGAAAGAACTCACGCCAGAGACGCTCTTGCAGTGGACCAACCCCAGCACCATGGCCAACACCAAGGTCAAACTCTCCCTCCCGAAATTCAAGGTGGAGAAGACGGTCGATCCCAAGGCTAGTCTGGAAAACCTAGGCTTGAAGAGCACCTTTAACGAGGAAACCTCTGATTTCTCGGGGATGTCCGAGGCCAAGGGCGCGGCCCTGTCCCGGGTCATTCACAGAGTGTGCCTAGAGATCACCGAGGAGGGCGGGGACTCCATCGAGGTGCCGGGGTCGCGGATCCTGCAGCACAAAGACGAGTTCAACGCCGACCACCCGTTCATTTACATCGTCAGGCACAACAAAACTCGGAACATCATTTTCTTCGGCAAGTTCTGCTCCCCGTAAGGGGGGGCAGGGCCCAGGCTGAGTCCCACCCGGCGATTCTGGAAACCCTGCACCTGGAGAATCACTTTCGAAACACGATACATGGTTACTATTGCTGAATGGGCAACGCCCTGGTGCCTGTCACGTGTGGCTAACAGGCCCCTTTCCCCAATCTGTTCTCTTAGGGCCCCTCCCCACCCATCAGAGACAATGCTTTCCAGGAAAAGGAAACGGGTATGCATTGTTTGTCACCTCGCTGGAGTTATGGGCAGAAATACGGTCTTTCACAAAGAACATCCCTGTAAGGAGGGTCGGTAGGATGGTATTCCCAGAGCTTTGCCTCCCTTTGTTGGGATACAGAATGTTCCAGACATACTGACCTCCCTGAAAGGTGGAAGGCACTGCGGTTCAGGGGGTCTGCCAGAGTTTTCTGGTTCCAGGGAAACTGGGGCACATGTACGGGCTCCTGTAGGTGCCCACACATGTGGGGCAAATGTAAACCCTGATTTGTTTTGGCTTTTAGAAAGATAATAATAGCTTTCCCAACGTGTATGTTACGGAAGTCCATGGAAAGAGTCTGGAACAACACCCTCCGTATAAGTCCCCACCTTGATATTTCTGCCGTAAAATGTAGAAAATGGATGCAAAGTGGATAAAGACTCTGAACAGCCCGTAAGTGCCAGGCGTTGCTGACAAATGCGTATGCCACCAGCTCGCAAACACGCTTCGTTTTCGGGACTTTTCGAGATCTTGAAATGCCGGATAAGAAATTGCAGACTTATTGTAGCTGACGTGCCGCCCTCAAAGGGGGAGCTCCGGTCTGATTAAACGTTTATTTCCTCTTTGGACAGAGTGACCCCCCATTCCTGGGGTGGGGGACAGACTGCTGGGTGGGGCTTCCAGCTGACTGGACAAGGCCTTCGGTGTCCGACAACCGGGGCCTCAGGGCGCAGGGACTCTCTTGTGGTAGGTGGCTGATGGGAGAATTCCGTGACTGTCGGATGTCTTTGTCTGGTGTGGCGGGGAGGGGACGGAACTTAGGCCTTTAGAAAATAGAACTGGGGCTACCGAGGTGCTCCCACTGCTTGGGCACATCCTTTCTCCAAGCCTGCGGCGTCGGTTACTACAGGTCGTCGGTGACTTTCACTGAGTGGTGTTTAGCGTTGATCTGATGAGTCATCTGTGTTACCAGTTCCCAGGTTAATTCATGAAGCACTAGTGTCCTGAAGACTCGGTGGCAAACCCTTCCTCATCTCTCCTCGGGCGTCCCTTGTAAATAGGTCCAACGTTCTTCTCGCTCCCAAGGACCAGCATTCACTTCCTTTCATGCTACGGACAATAAAATATCATGAAATGGCATATCTTGTTTTTCTTTTTCCGTAAAGTTAGATTTACTCTTCTGAGAGATCACCGAGCCATCTCTGCAGAGAAGCACTCCTGGGGCCCTGACGCCGAATGAGAAGGAGTAAGAATCGTTGCTGCCCCTGGGTCCTGGTCTTCCTTTCTCTCTGGCCACCAGCTCTTGCTCCCTCCTCCCGCCCCGTTCCACCCCTGGGGGGCCCCCGGGGGGCCTAGGAGGGCTTTGGGTCACAGTTAGCTGTGTTAGGAAATGGGGGCCTTTGGGCTCAGCCTCAGAACTTGCTGTCGAGTAAGCTGCGTATGCTTAAAATGTTTTCTCAGGAGGCTCCTTTTCCTCATGTGCATTTGTTCTGAATTACTTACGGTGACCCTGAACCTGATATTCAACATAGCCCTTTTCCAGTCCCCGCAGTGCGCCCACTCAGAATGTGCCTCCTGTTGCGATAAAATGTCGAGGACCAAAAGTGACAAAGGCTCCACCTTCTGGCGATGGCTGGGAGTGGCCCCGACCGGGGTTTCCCTCTCTCCGCTTAGGGGTACCCCTTCTCCGAGCTGTGGAACAGGAAGTGGGCGGGGACCCAAAAGCTAGTGAGGACTTAGAGGGGAGGAGATTGGCACCTCTTTAAGCCAAATGTTCGTGGAGCCTGAAGTCTCTCCTGGAGTTTAGAAAGCAATGAAGTTTTTTTATGAACTCTGGCCCTGGTAATAGTCTAATCCAGTGCTTTTCAACCAGGGCCAACCCTGCCCCCTAGGGGACATGTGGCAGTGTCTGGGGACATTTTTGTAACAACCAGGAGGAGGGTGCTGCTGGCACCCAGTGGGTGGAAGCCAAGCATTTTGCTGGACACCCTACAACGCCCAGAACAGGAGTGATGACGCAGTGCCAACAAAGGGGCCTCCGCTTACCCGAAGGACGGATGCTGGCGGGACGGTCCCCGAAGCAGAGCCAGGAGAACAGCCCAGCGAGGAAGGGGTGGTGGCTCCGTGCTTGCTGTCACCACAGGGAGAGGGGGAGGCGGCCAGCCTCGTGGCTGTGAGACTCGGCTCAGAAGGTCTCCAAGGATCCCCCCAGAACAGCCCAAGGAGGGAAGCGAGGGGCTGGTTGGTACCTCTCCCACGGAATGCTGGGTTCCAACTGCACCAGCCGAGGAAGGCCCTTCCCTCCTCACCTCTCCTTCCTCCCCGGCCCCCCCTCTGAGTCAGGTGCTGTGGGAGGAGAGGAAGGGAGGAGTGTGGGGGGGGGGCTGTCAGTGGTGAGGGAGCCACCTCCGCTTCTGTTCCCTGTGGGGTGGTGGGTCCGACCCAGACCCCAGCCGGGGTGGGCGGGGACGCTCTCAATTAAAATGATGTACTGATTGAAAAGAACTCTGGGCTCTCTCGTTTCTGAAATGTCTTTGTTGACACATGGAAGTGGCTGGAGGGCATTTAGTGTAGGGGGTTTGGTCCAGGGGGTGGGGGCCGGGAGTGCAGCGGGCGGGCCGGGCAGGGCGCTGTTCACAAAGCGTCCAGCCGCACGGTCCCAGCCTCCGCCGGTGCCGTCACCAGCGCCCTGGGCGCAAGGATGTCGTCCCCTTTACTCACCATGGCAGACACAGGAGGAGGGAACCACGACCCCATCTCACGACTGAGGACCCTGGGACAGAGAATAGGTGTGTTAACAGGACCAGCTCAAGGTCGCCGAGCTCACGCAGCCGATGGCGAGGTTTGACCTCCGGCCAGCTAGGCCCAGAGCGAGAGAGCGCCGTCCGTCCTCTGCGCTCGATGCCGCCGCCCTCCAGCTGGCACTAGCCCTGGGCAGACGGCCGCCGAACGCAGGGGAAGAACTCCTCTCTCCTCTACACCTTCTCCATTTCGCAGTTCCCGAAGACTTGTCTCATTCTGGTGGTGCTTTTATTTATTTTTTTTGTTGCCACCAAAACACCCCTGGGTACCACCGGTCGGATCAGCATCTTCTGTGGGCCAGACACCGTACCTGCAGGCGCGTCATAGACGTGACTCTCTCTGCTCGTCCTCACACAGCTCTAGAGTTGGGGTTATTTTCATCCGTTCCTCTATTTCACGAGGAAATACAGGCTCAAAGGACTTGGTAGACAGCAGGGTGTGACCACGGCTCTGTCTGACCCCCAAGCCCACGCTCCTTCCACACCGACTTCGGTCACACGTGGGGCAGGCTCCCCCTGGGGGGCTCTGCTGACACTCTCCCATCGCCTGGGCCCCCTGCCCGCCCGGTGTTGCCAAAGTGACCAGCCTGTCCCCATCCCTTAGGAAAACAGCAGAAAGCAAAACTTCCGGCCCTGTGCTCGTCCCTGGCAGGGCGCCAGGAGCAGCAGGTCCTCCGGCCTGCCCTGAGGGAGTGCCACCTGACAGTCACTGGAGGAAATCAGACTTCTGCCTTGGGCGGCCAGTGGCCAGGCCCAGAAAGCCCTGAGGAGGGAGTGGGATTTTAGAAGGACCTGAAACCTCACTCTGATGTGGGTGGACCGGGGTCGGGGGACAGGGTGCCCACAAGGGAGGGGCGTGTGTTCACCGGGTACAGAAGGAAAAGCGAGGGGATGCACTGGAGGCTCAGCGTGGTTGTGGAGACCGCAAGAGAAAGCAGGGGCTTGGATGGGCAGCTGTGGCTGTGGGTGTGATGGGCACGGGGTCCAGAAGCCCCAAGACACCATCAGCCAGGGCTCGGCGTCAACGTCAGAGCCGCCCAGCAACGGCCCCATCACACCTGGAGCTACAGCCCTGGCCGTGGGCTCAGCTGCTGGGAGCGTCGTCCCGGACACCAAAAGGGTGCAGGTTCAGTTCCCGGTCAGGGCACATGCCTAGCCTGGGGCTTCCAGCCCTGGTTGGGGCGCGTGTGGGAGGCAACTGACTGATGTTTCTCTCTCTCCCTTCTCCTCTCTCTAACATTAATAAGCATGCCCTCACTAAGGATACAAAAGTGGTATCTGTGGATACACACACACACTCAGTTCAGAATGGGATTACCGAGTCACGTCCGATGAGAATGTTCTGCTTCAGCGGACACTGCCCGAGAGTTCTCCAAGTGGTTTCCCTTAGTTGTTATTATTATTTACTAATATTATTTATAGATACCATTGATTACTTATTTTGTCTTTTATTATTATTTAATGCTAACTTTAAAATTAATACTATTTTATTTTTTCTCCTAGTTTTTTTATACTTTGTTTCCTTTTTCTTTTCTTTTTTACATTTTTTTGCATTGCACCCAGAATTCTTTAAGAGTACAGTGCTAGGTAATGGCTCTGCAGGGAGACAGTTCTCCACGTGTCTGTCACGCGGCTGCGCATCTCAGAGCGCAGGCCCCCACATTCTTTGTTCTGAAACATCTTTTCAAAGATGTTTGCCTGGTGAGCAGCCTTGGACACAGGGGTGGTGTCCCCCCTTAGGGCAGAGGGCAGGTTGGTAGGTTGTCGGTGATACTGGAGAGATAGCTCCCCGATCCAGGCTGAGGTCAGGCAGGCTCGCTGCTCCCTGCCGGTTAAGGGAGACCTGAGATCCTTAGCCTGGGGTTCCTCTCCCGGTCGCGCTGCGCTGGCCGCCGTGCCCGCATCGCCCGGCCCTCTGGGCGCCCCCTGCTGGAACTGGGGCTCGGGACGCGGGCAGGTGCTCATCATCCCCGGCTACAGCTGCTGCGGTTTTGTCTCGGACTCAGGAGCCCCGTGTCTTCTGCCCACAGCCATGAAACCAGGGCAGGCTCGCCTGGTAGGTGGCAAGTGAGCACAAGTCTGAGACCCTCACCGTTCTTGACAGAGGCTGAACTTTCTTGTTTTCCTCCATTTGTGTTATTTAAAAATAATGATTATTAATGATGAAAGACCCCACCGCCAGTGATGAGCTGGGCGCTGTGCGCAGCATGATACACGTTGTAAATCCAGCTTCCGCAGCAGCCCCGAGCAGCACACACTCGCCGAGTTCTGTGGTTAGGACTTAACCCCTGTTTCTCTGACCCCAGAGCCCGCGCTGTCAACCTCTGGGGACTTGACCGCCTAAAACATTTCCGCTTGGTGAGTTACTCCATTCACCTACGAAGGCAGATGTTCCTCCGTTTGTGTTAAAATGGAATATTACGTCAAACACAAGACAGTAAGTGTAGCTAAAGATAACGCTCGGTAAATATTTATATCATAAGCAAACTTTCGAGGAATGTTTACTTTTCAGGTGTTTCTGGTTAAGTCTAGCGTGTTTTTTTTTTTTTTTGCCATTCCCAGCCCTTTCTCAGGGGTCCCCATCAGTCAGCCCATATGCCAGCTGCTGCTCCCACCAGGTCTGAAAAGCTTCCGTTTGCAGTGTGAGGTCTCTGTCCTGACCCCAACGGCCTCCACGACATTCCTGCCCTCTGCCCTGCCCACGGAGGCCGAGGATCTAGTAAATGGGCGTTCCCTGCTCCGTGGCCGCTTCTGTGTCACTGGCCTCCGCTGGGACAATAATAATAGCTGCCCCAGTTTGTGACGGCGTTGGAGTGAGGGGATCCCCAGTGTGCTGCCGACAGCCAATGACTGTTCTTGATGCAGATCCTTGAAGGGGAAAAAAATAGGTGGCCTCATTCTCCATTAGAGCTAAATTGATGCAGGCGTGTCACCGGAACTGCCTTCCAGGACCCGTGCCAGACCCCCGTAGCTGGACGGAGCCCTCCTTGTCTGTCCTGTAAGGCCTTAGAGCAGAGAGTTGGATGGGGGTTGCCAGGGGCTGGGAGGAGGAGCACGTGGGGGAGGGGTTGTTGTTCAGTGATGTAAAGTGGCGCTTGTTCTAGAAATCTGCTGTGCAACACTGTGTCTCTAGTTACCAAGACCCGTATTCTGCACTGACACGTTTGTTAGAGGGTAGATTCTTAGGCTAGGATTTCCTGCCACAATTTAAAAAGAAGTAGATAGAATTTAGGAGCAAGTAAGCCGAGGAGGAACAGGCCACACTTACGAAGACGGAACAGCCCAGGGAGACAGACAGTGTGCAGGGCACTCTCGGTCTGCGCACTGAGCGCC